TTCACAACGTGGGTGGGCAGACTGGAGATCAATGCAGTTACTTTGGTAACCAGGCGTTGGAAGCGAGTTGGGAACGACGAGGCTGATATCGAATCTAACCAGATTCCCATCCGAATCACCAAAAGGTTAGAACGTCACATTTGGGTGCCGCGACCGATACCAAGCCAGTTGGTCGTCACAGGACGAGACAACACGACTGACGCGACAGGCGGACGTCACGTTTGGAGCGGCAACACCCAAACGAAGCAGCGAGGAGCGAGCGAAGGCTGTGTTTAGGGACGTCACACTTCTCAAGTTTACTTCAACTCTCTACTTCTAACATCTCCGCCTAAACTCTGAAATTTTATTTACTATTTCCTCCCTTAATAGAAGTAGATGTAGTTGCCTATTGTTTGGTGAATAATTCTGCCCTGTCTTTTGAACAGGAGTAGAGGTTTATCATTTGTTTCCTGTTAACGATTGGGTTTCTGGATCCATCTAAAGTCTTTTCATTCTCTTTCACTCCCAGGAGTCCCATGTTTCTTAGTAACATTATCGCATTTCTTGGGGTAAATTGATTTTTTTAAAAGAATTTCTTTTGCTTGCATTCAAGTCAAACAGCTCCATCTTTTCGTTGCTTTTCTGCATGTCTAAGTCATGTAAGAATAACGTGTACTTAAATCGAGTGACTAGTTTCCGTGTATTCTGTCAATATATTCCTTGACCATCCAATAACTTAAGCTACGTTATTCCATATATTACGATATGAATGATACTCAAATTTCTGCGTTAAAACAATGAGGCAGGTTTAGAAAATACTTATATTTTACGTTCATTTAAGCTTTAATCTGTATCTTAATCCAAAAATATTTGATATTATCTTATAATATATAATCTTAATCCAAAAATATTTGATATTATCTTTCAAAGTTATTCAGAGGAAAAGTACAAATATAAGTCATAAGAAAATCTTATCAAAATGTTTTTACATATAAAATCAGTCGTCACATTTTATGCAGTTATTACTGCACAGCCGTACGAAACACTAAATCCATTTTTAAACACATCAATTGATAAAATAAGGTATTCTTCAGAGTCAGATAATTACTGTCTTTGTGGGAGGTTTGAATGAGAGGCTGAACTGTGAAGTTTAACGTTTGCTGTCTTGACACCAACATGACAATCTCCTCTCTGGAACACATGACCTGATGACGTGCTTTGCTTTCATAAGATCACATGCAACACTTCTATTGTAACTACTTAGATGTTGGGTGTATTTAACATTTGAAAATTGTTTGAGTGAGAAAACGTGAGAGAAAAATGCATGATGAAGAAAAATACTAACAAAATTTAATCAGAATTTTGCATTCTATTTATATTCTGTATCTAGTTGCAATATCAGATGTAAATTAATGTCTTTATATAAATATAATTGTTACTTTTGACTAAATCAAATAAAAATCTATTTCATATGAATACAAATAATGTTCCTGATACATTATTTCAAAGCCTTGGGAAAACTTACAATATGAATAAAATAATGTCCTTCAGATAATAATACTCGTCCTTGATCTTTTGAACAAGAGAAGAGGTTTATCCCTTGTTTCCTGTTTTGAATTGGGTTTCTGGTTCCTTCTAAAGAGTACTTCAACTCTATACTTCTAACATCTTCCCTTAAACTGCGAAACTATTTTATATTTACATTTTTTCCTCAATATGATTATATTCGCCTACCCGGTTCACACTCCTCACCCCATCATTTGAACAGGTGCAGAGGTTTATTCCTTGTTTCCTGTTTCAGATTGGGTTTCCACCTCTCTCAAAATTTTTTTTCCTTCTCTTTCCCTGGTGGACCGTTGCGCCATTATAACCTTGCTTGCGGTGGTGCTTCTTACTTGGTTAGCCTTGATCTTGGAGGGTCTCTTGGGACTTGTACAGGGCAAACATCACTGCAAAATAAAATCAGAACCTTGAATTTAAAGGTAAAAATTTATATTTCTTCCCTAGACTCTCATGCCTATCTGTGATCGTGGTTGGAAGACATATCTACAAATGTAAATTACGTTTTTATTAAAACATGTCAATAAGAAGTTACTTCAAAACAAAAGTCTATTCTCAACATTATTACAAATTCAAAGTAATTTTCCTTTCACAAAGTTTGGTTTGGTTTGGTTTACGGCATATCAACCTTGCTGCCGGATGTAGTTTATCGTCATACCTTGGACCGTATTTTTTTTCTGGGTGGGGGGAGAATTAATGAAAATTTATTGCACTAAGCTACGCACTCTAGTAAAACCAACTGTACTTTGTACTCCTTTACCTGTTTGTACTTCGCTCCAAAATTTAGTTTCGAACGTTCAATGTATGGATATTTTGGACAGATGGACGTTTTAGTTTGGTTTGGTTTGGTTTGGTTTACAGCATATCAAACTCAATCGGTTATTTAATGCGGACAAAATTTTTATTGCTGGTAATATTTTTTCTTCAAAAATCTATTTATGGGAATATTTTTTATTGAAGAAATCTATAGCTGGTCATATTTTTTTCAAAGAACTGTTTGTATTGCTGGTATTTTTTTTAAAAGTATTGCTGATAATTTTTTCTTAAAAAATTATTACTAGTAATAATTTTTTTATTACAAAGTATTTCTGGTATTAAAACCTATTTTTACACAAGTTTGGGTGTTAACTATTTGCCCATAGTTGGGACCCTTAGAGGTGCTACCACCCCGGGTCAGGGTGGACTTGGGAACACCAACAATTAAGAGGTGATTCCACGCTCCTCAAAACCTCATGATCAGAGGCCTTGGTGTTGGACGTAGTTTATCGTCTTACCCAGGACGCGGATGTAGTTTGTCGTCATACCCATGACGAACTTTCCCAAAGAAACAAAAAAAAAAAATCATTAGAAACAAAGAAAAGAGTACTAAGCAGTTACGTAATATTAGTCTTTCTGTATGACAGTGAATGCTGGACAATCTCTTTAAAGAAGAAGAGAAGACTTGAAACAACAGAAATGTGGTTCTACAGAAGGATGCTGAGGATACCATGGCCTGAACATGTGAACAACGACCAAATTTTAGAGAAAATGGAAACAAAAAGGACACATATACTTAACACCAAGAAGTGATAGTTGAAATTTCTAGGGCAAATGAGAAAAGAGGGCTTGAAAAATTCGATACTCAAAGGTCAGATTGAAGGCAAGTGAGACAGAGGAAAACAAAGCATAGAAACCTTGAGTAAATGGATGGTGGGTCAGAGTTCGGAAAAGATAACAAAATGACAAAATTTATTAAGAGCTACAAAAGTCAGGAAATTGTGGAGAGTCATGATCAGCAACATCCTGAAGAAGAAGATCCTTCGAAAGTGGATGATAGTGATCTTTTTTGGGAGGTTTCAAGGAAAGGCTGAAAAACATAGAACACAAATGAAATTCAACACAGATTGCCTTGGCGCCAATATGACGCTCTCACTTATTGAAATTATGACCTGGTAAAGCAATGTTATTGAATATACGGACACTAAAATGAGACTCAAATGATTGCGTTGAAAACAAATTTAATTCCGCATTTTAATTTGTTTGAATCAAATGTAAGACATGAGAATTTGAATATATTTAACGGCTGAAATATATTCAACAGGGAAAGTTTGGTAGAATAATTTTACATTCTATTTATGTTCTTATAGATACTCTATGACAAAGTGGAAAAAATGATTTTGTGTGACGCATTTTGTCCTTTAGAACTTTGAGATATAGGACGTAAATTCAAGTTTTATATGAATTTATTTCCTACACTTGATTTTAATTGATGAGGTTATAAAAAGCAATACTGGCATAGAATACGCAAAAATATTTCAATTGCTTTTTAATATATTTTTTTGCTCCAGACATTTATTATGTTTCTACGAAATTTCAGCTATTACTTTCTGTTTCTATTTTTTGAAAAACTGGTTCATTTTTCAGATATTAATGTTCATCGCATTTCATGTTAGCATTCATCAAAAGACCCCCGACTCTTCAAGACTCTTCTTCATTTTCCCATAAGATAGAAGAAAATCTATATTACTCTTTCTGGGGGAATTCATTGAAATGCTTACTGAAATTTAGGATGTCACTTTGTGGTTGTTATCAGGAGATCGTATCGTTTTGATATCTTCCTCATTTCTCATATGCACTGTCCATTTATTCTCATCATCTACCAACGGAACAACATCTCTGGCGCTAAAAGCCTCTTCATCTGTGAGGACATTCTAATTTACAATAAAATAGAAAAGACCCAATATTACCTTACCCACAGGCAATCATGAAGTAATTCGGGAGCCGAAACGGTTGGAGCAGAGAGGGTCTGTTTGAAAAGAAACCAAATTCTTGTTCAATCGAAATCAGTCAGGTAAGTAAACATAGACAGCGAATTTTGTTTTATTGCATCTTCTTGTTTTGTCATTTGTGACTTATCATATTTATTTAAATGAGGCATTTTCATTATTCAATGCTTCGTTATTCGAATCTGCCGTCTCATCTTGATCAGCATGTTAGGTTTACGGCCACATCACGTTGAAATACCGGCCCTCGTACCATCGCCGGAGTTAAGCAACGTCCTGCCCGGTCAATACCAAGATGAGTGACTGCTTGGGAATATCAGGTACTGCAGGCTTGGATGCATGAGTGGTATGGCTTACGGTCATATCACATTGAAACACCGATTCTCGTACAATAATCAAAGTTAAGCAACGCCAAACCTGGTCAGTGCCCAGATGGATGACCGCTTCTGAATACCGAGTGCTGCAATGAATGAAGAATTCGGAGAGCCAAGTTCGATTTCTAGTCGAGTTCGTTAAATTCGCTTACGCACAAAATACCCTAGGGAAAGGTGTGAAACCACGACTCCTCCCCCGAGCTATGAGCTAATTTATAGGACTTGTATCAGTAAATCTTTATTACGCCCCCAAAATTCTCACAATCTAAAAAAAATTTCTGTTTTTAGATAACCTCCAATAAGTTGTAAGAAAAACCGTCTAGGCATGCAGTCATATCACGTTGAAACATCGAATCATGTACGATAATCGAAGTTAAGCAACATCGAGTCTGGTCAGTACTCAGAGGGGTGACCGTTTGGGAATACCAGGTGCTGTAAGTTTGGATGTGCAGGTGGTGTAAATGATAATGACTGGGAATTGTAAATCGGAGAGTCGAGTTCAAATTCCACTTGGGTTTGTTATATTCGCTTACGCGCAAATACCCTTGCTAAAGGCATGAATCAACTAGTACTCAACACAGCTATGGGTTAATTAGTGAGACTTGCATCACTAAGCCGTTACTATAACCAAATACAATTGCTTACAAAATATTTAGATTTCGGTATTAAATAGAGGTGTTGATATGCCGCTAAACAAAAACACAACCCCCCGCCAAAAAATAAAAAAAGAAGGAATTCTCACTCTAACAAACGTGGGCTTATAACAATGAAGATGAGCACGCGGGTTCGAATAACAGAGCATTTAATTACTATACTTCCGCGTTTGCGCCTTTAAATTAGTATAAATTGTCGAAATTTACTGATCTCCAAATGAAGAGAAAGAACAGACAGATTAGGAATCCACACTTCTTTAGCATTTACTTTTAAAAAAGTATATTATATATATATATATATATATATATATATATATATATATATATATATATATATATATATATATATATATATGAATTATTCATACAAAACTAATGCAAGGTTAATGATTTAAATGGCGAGACATCCATCTTGCAAACGATTCAAATAGTACACAAAAACCTCTAAATCCGTTATGCATGAGTTGATCCTTGTTTATATAAATTTCTGCCGTATTAGTTGTTATTTTTACTACAAGCTTTCGTCTGTTCCTACAGACATCGTCAGGTATATAATAGATGTTGTTCTTGGTTTTTCTCTTAGTAATAAGAGGACATCGAAAATATATGTGTATTGTATCCGAAAATGCTATTAAAATGAGTTATTGGTTTTGAACGCGCCAAAGCAACGCTGAGTTTGATTTTGAATTTTTAAAATGTCTGCGTCTATACCAAATATGGTAATGAACAAATGTTTTTACTGGTAAATTTTTGCATTAGTTTTGTATGAATAATTCATGTATTTGTAAATTGATTGCACGTTTATTGTAATTTAAATATCTGATCCATGTGCGACTTTTGGTTAATAAGTGCGACATTACTGTAATTATTGAACAATATAGTTCATGCCACTTTGACAGTAAAAAAATTTACCAGTAAAAAACATTTGTTCATTACCATATTTGGTATAGACGCAGACATTTTAAAAAATTCAAAATCAAACTCAGCGTTGCTTTGGCGCGTTCAAAACCAATAACTCATTTTTTAATAGCATTTCGGATACAATACACATATATTTTCGATGTCCTCTTATTACTAAGAGAAAAAACCAAGAACAACATCTATTATATACCTGACGATGTCTGTAGGAACAGACGAAAGCTTGTAGTAAAAAATAACAACTAATACGGCAGAAATTTATATAAACAAGGATCAAACTCATGCATAACGGATTTAGAGGTTTTTGTGTACTATTTGAATCGTTTGCAAGATGGATGTCTGCCATTTAAATCATTAACCTTTTGCATTAGTTTTGTATGAATAATTCAATGTATTTGTAAATTGATTGCACGTTTATTGTATATATATATATATATATATATATATATATATATATATATATATATATATATATAACAATAGGTTATACATATATAGGTTAATTTTAATTTTTTTTAAAATTATTTTTGTAAATGCATTAGAACTATCTTAAAGGACCCTCTAGTATGATTAAATCATTTTTATGTATAATTTTGAACCTAAAATACAATACTTATTTTATTCAATGGGCCTTAATACATGGCAATATTTAAAATTAAAAAAATCAAGGAATTGAATATTATATGTACCATTATATATAATAAAATAATGGATATATAATGGTAATACATAGATTTTTATGAAAAATTCTATTAACTATATTTCAAAGTAAACATTATACAATGCCTACAAATTACAGTTAGTTCATTCCGTTAATTTAATAGATCATTATTTTTACGAAACGTTTTGTTTTACGGCATATGGACATCTCAATGGGTTGTTATTTAATACCGACAATATTGTTATTGCTGGTAATATTTTTTTTTCAAAAATGTATTGCTGGTAATATATTTTTTTTAAAAAATATTGCTGGTAATTTTTTTTTTCATAAATGTATTGTTGGTAATATTTTTTTCTAAAAGTATTGCTGGTAATATTGTTTTTTCCTAAAATGTATTGCTATAGTTAGTCCAGTTTTTTCTGAAGACCATGAGGAATGCTTTGGTGTGCTGTTTAGCTAATCCCTGTTGCAGACGCCTGCCCAGGTACATTAATGTTTGTTCAACACCCACAGAGCCCACCTGTGGTTTATACTGCAACTATGCTGAGCTGACCTTAGTTACAGTTTCTGGGAGAGAGCAAATAATCTGGCGTGATCAACAGTTTGAGCAACACACTCAGATCCTTGAATGGTTAGATAATGAATATTCAAGATCATGTTTTTCTTCAGGCTTCGAACCGTGGAAGGCATCTACTCAAGCAGCCAAGCTAACTGCAATGTAAACATGGGCTTCACCAGTCTCGCATTTTTGCCTCTCGCACATCTTTTTCTCCTCCCTCCTTTCCCTTGTTTCTTTATTTTCACTCTCACTCTGTATCCCCACCTATTCTATGGTTCTTTTCCTAATAATCTTAATTTTCTGCTTTTAGGGACATTTCTCAACATGAATGGGACGACATTAAACGAAACAGAAATTTCAGAAATTCTTTCTCGTCTTAACAAGGAACAAGCCTTAATTATGATACCTTCAACAATCCTGGTCATCATTACAATGTTGGTAGGGCTTATTGGCAACCTTCTCACCTGTTATGTCTACGGCTTCCGACTGAAGATGACACCAACATACCTCTTCGTTGTCATGTTGGCCATAGTAGATTTGATTACCTGTACCATTATCACACCTGGAAGAATTGTTCAGAATGTCTTTCCAATGATGACCAAGTGGGACGTTTTATGTAAGCTCCATATGGGCCTGTCAGTTTTCACCGGTTTTTGTAATTGTGGATTTCTTGTTGCAATCGCTGTCGACAGATACAGAAGAATGGGTTGTCCCTTAAAAAGTCAAATCACCATGAGGGGTGTGAAGATCATAACTCTAGTCATCTGTACGATTTCCACAGGACAGGCAAGTGTTGTAACTCTCTATTACGGGAGTGTGAGAAAGCCTACGATGTACCCCAATGTGTTCGGTCAGTCTTGTTCTGCGAAAATTACAAAAAAGATCAATTATTATCAGTTGGGATTTTTCGCTTCTTACCTCTTCATCGCAATATTCGCCATATTTCTGCTGGTCGGATTGTATACGGTCGTCCTGCACACTATGAAAAAGATTGTCAATAAAAACAAGACAGTGATTTCCCAGCCTCCATCTAAAACAAAAAAACTTTATCAAAATTTAAACTCCAATCCAACCACGGCTTTTAGTAACGTTGTAGTAACAATCACGAATTCTAGCAGCGCGAACACATTGAAAGAAGTCGGGAATAAGACAGAGGAAAAAAACTTGTCAGTTTTATGTTTTTCCGCTTCAGGAATATCGTCCGGTGACAGCGTGCGTCCAGCTGCATGCAATGAATTGGCAAAGAAAGAGACGCAAACACGAAGCCTCAGGCGAGCGGAAAATAACATAAAAAGGTTTAACCGTACGACTGTGACGATGATGATGATAACTGCAGTGTTTGTTGTGACATATATTCCGAGCTTATCCGCGATGATTGTGAACGCGGTTATGAGAGCTGAACAAAAAATGGGGACGGCCGTCGCCATCTTTTATTGGTTGTCCAGACACAGTTTCTACATCAGCTCGTGTCTAAATCCAGTCATTTACGGTTACAGGAACAAGAATTTCAAAGACGAAGTCCGGCTACTGTTTCGCAAATTCAAATTAAAAGCTTCCTTTAATTTGAAATTATTTCACTGACTTTAGTCGGAATTGCTTTCTTATTTTTATTCTTTTAGCCTGCTGCATACCCCAAAGAGGAGCGAAATTGCTTTTCATATACAATATTCCCCAACATAGTTTTTAACTTTCTGTTTTGGGGGAAGTGTTCTAAATTTCTCGCCAGTAGGACAGTTTCATTTGGTCTCTGGAATCATGGTAATTAGATATTTCTTTTTTATTTCACGTGATCAGTACAGAACAAAGACTCTGTGACGAAGACTTCTTTATCTTCTGAAACGAAATAAAAATCACTGCAAATAAATTTTATAAATAAAATTATTCCGTGGTTGAAGTAAAGACGCCTTAAGAAAAGCAAAGAGAGTAGCCTCCCTTGTCTGAATGCGACCAGAACATATAAACCAAAAAATGAAATAAATTTTCGTTTTCAATTCAAAGTTTAGGACGAAATTTCTTGCTTGCATTTTTTTTAATTGGATCGACATTTCTTTTGAGGTTAGTAAACAAGTTGAAGCAATTTAAATTCACATTTTACACCTCAAGATTCGTCCCATCCTTTTACATATGGACAATGATCAGGTGAAGATATCTATCTATCTATCTATCTATCTATCTATCTATCTATCTATAATACTTTATATATATAATATATATGTAATATATTATATATATATATATATCTTATATATATAGACAATATATATATACAAGATATATATATATACTTTTAAAAAGTTTATTCGTTATTATTTTAAAGCTGGTTATTTGCTTGTTTTTGATGACTGTGTATATGTAACTGGTAGAAATCTCGGTTTGTAATCCTTATTGGTTATTTTTGTGGTGGTATTAAATATGCTGGGGGAGGGGGGAGTTTACGTTAATAATTATAGCGGGTTTATATGATAATAGATGTGATGTGATAGTAATGTTGTAAAGGATTGGAGAATTTTATCGTCTAATGTTCGTATTATTATTAAAGAGAAAAGATCAAAGTATTTTTGGGGTATTTTTTTACATTTTTTAATCGTTCCTAGCACGTCTGAAATTTTCGTTAAAAATATTGTTTTTTTTGGGTCAAAAAAAAGGA